GAAGATAGCAGGAGGGGAAGAATGAAGGGGGGGAATTCGGAGGGGGAGACGAACCATGAGAGATGATGGACTCTGAAAAACAAACTGAGGGCTCTAGAGGGGAGGGGGGTGGGAGGATGGGTTAGCCTGGTGATGGGTTTTAAAGAGGGTACGTTCTGCGTGGAGCACTGGGTGTTATACGCAAATAATGAATCATGGAACACTACAACAAAAACTAATGATGTAATGTATGGTGATTAACATAACATAAAAAAAAAAGAAATAAAATACCTGGCCTTATCCCACAAAACTTGCAATAAAAGTACTTCCTTTATTGAAAGACGTAAATTTGTTCCAGAAAATAAAAATGTTTCATTCAACCTTTAGTACTCAACTTTGGAACTTGTTCCTGACCAGCCAGGATTTAAAAGGATCCTACACATATCTGTATTTTTTTTTTTAAGCTTTTATTTATTCATTTGACAGAGAGAGACACAGCAAGAGAGGGAACACAAGCTGGAGGAGTGGGAGAGGGAGAAGCAGGCTTCCTGCTGAGCAGGGAGCCTGATGTGGGGCTCGATCCCATGACCCTGGGATCATGACCTGAACCGAAGGCAGACGCTTAACCGACTAAGCCATGCAGTCACCCCTACATATCTCTACTTTATGTGTTAGATTGAAAAGAGGGGAACCTTTTTTTTTCGCAAATGGAAGGAAGTAAATGACATCTCAGTGGTCCACAAAGCAAACTTTCTTAAAACAAAAAAATATAAAATTCCTGTGATTGAATTAAATTGAGAACTGAGCGTATACAACAGGAGTAAAATGTAAATATCAGGAGGGAATTTTTTTTCTAGTTATTTTAATTATGCATTCACCCACTCAGGTTCAATGTCTTTCCTTTTCAAAACCAGGCCAATATTGGATGTTAAGTAGAGAAACTAACAGTTAAGTTCTGGGTTCATTCACACACTCAGCATGTGATTTTCAGCACCTTGTGATAAGATTCTACAAAGCTGAGTCAAAGAATCTTAGAATCATTAGATGTGAGTTAGGAGTAGCTGAACTGTTAGTAGACTCTAAACAAAATCAGACAAAGAATGCATTGAGAGAATGAATGGCACTCTGGAGAGGGAGTGAAGAAATCCAAGAAGTGGTCCAAGCTGATGCACAATGTGGTCTTGTGTGAGTTAACTCTTCTTTCCGTGGATCTACTCATGAATCAGAAAGGGAAAATTTCACTGCCTGCTCTTCCATAATTCAATAGGATTATATAAAACTGTCAGGGTAAAGTAGCTAATGTACTAGATGTAAAGCAAGTTAAAATCATAGTGAAAAAAACAACAATAGAGTTTCTGTCAAAGGTGCAATTCTGAGGATATATGGGAGAAAAAAGTTCTTTGCATTGATGTAAAGAATATCTACAATTCTATAAGCTGGTTCATCTTATTTGCATGCAAGCTGGCTTGGAATGAAATTAGAGTAGATTGCCATTTACTCAAATTTTACTAATTATTTTCTCATAACTTCCTCCTCCTCTGATACTTACACTCAGAATAATAACTGGGAGTTTCCTGCTCTGTGAATGGTTTCCGGGACATTCATTTGATTCAGGGAAGTGTATATCTAATAGGGGTCGCTGACATGTGTTCAGGCATAAAAAGAGCAGAAAGATGTCCCAAAATGATTAAATAAATGGCTCCCTTGAGTTTCCTTAAATGAAGAAGGAAAAAATTATTACCAAGAAGATGATCCCCTCCCACACATACCTTGTGGTTCATGAATACCCTCCTGAATCATTCATCAGTAGTAAGCAGAGAACACTCTTGAGTCTCAGGGGACAGTAACAGCATCACTACCTGGATCACTGTGGGCCCAGTGGGGCTGCTTCTGAGATGCTGGCCAGGGAAATACCAGGAGGGAGGGAAATAAAAAGATCATGGTGGTTTTTTTGCCCCTAATTAATTTGCATGGCTTGACGTATGACCAGGAAAGAAAAGAAAGGTCATTTCTATCGGCCAGACCTCAATGAACAAACAGTATGTTAAAGCCAGGTAAAAATGAAAAGGAAAAAGAGAGAAGGAAAAGTATCTGTCTGAAGTGTAATCCTCAAAATGCTTCATCCCTCTGTGGCAGACAGAATAGCCTTCCAAAGAGGTCTGCATCCTAACCCCTGGAATTTGAGAATATTTCAGGTTACATGACAAATGGGAATTAAGATTGCAGATGGAATTAGGATTGTTCATCAGCTGACTTCAAGATGGCCAATACTGTGGATGAATGGGTGGGTCCAATGTAATCACAGAGTCCTCAAAAGTGGAAGAGAAGCAGAAGAGAAGGTCAGGATGATGTGAGTCAAGAAGAACTTTGGCAATGGAAGGAGAAACCATGAGCCAGGGGATGTGTGGGGCCTTGGTAAGCTGGACAAGGCAAGGAAACAGATTCTCTCCCAGAGCCTCCCAAAATGAAAGCAGACACCTTGATTTTAGCCTAGTGAGACTGTGTTGTACTTCTGACCTATGGAACTATAATATAATACATTTGTGCTGCTCTAAGCCACTAAGGTTGTGGTAATTTGTTATGACAAGGATGAAAAACTAATCCATCTGAGTCAAGAGCTAGAGCACCCCCCAGTGAAACCCAGCTGAATAGCAATGATGTCTCAGTCCCAAGGAGCTCATCTGGTTCCAGAGGGTGGCCTGCTTTTCTAGAATTCCTGGGACTGACCCACTCAGAGTTTACCCTCATGCCCGTGTTGAGAGGGCTCAACTCCCCAGCACTGCCTCTTCTGGTATTTTTCTTCAACCATTTGGATTACAGAATATACGATATATGCTTGTCGGTCCTTTTCTGAGATCGGTGACGTAAAAATGGAGTTAGGCTTTCACTTAGGACCCATTTTCAAAGGACTTTGCATAGAGAAAATCTGAGGCAGAAAGGAAAATCTTTTAATCTTTTAATAGTGCCATGAGTCAGAGAATAAATTACTCCTTCAGCACCTTCCTCTGCCCATCTATGTTCTGGCCTCTGAGTTCCTGGTCATTCCAGAGTGTGGGTCAGTCTCAACATTCAGGACCCCAAGGAGTCAAACCCAAGACTCCTGAAAATGCTGAGAGGCTGCCTGGATTCCCACAGCACAAATTTGCTGCACAATTTAGGCTACTTTCCTCAGAGTCAGATTCCTTCACCACAGGTCCCCTCTCTACCTTTACCACAGCATCTCCTACCTTTGTAATATTGTGCCTGACTTTTGCTGAACTATTTCCATACTTGCTATGGCCCATACCGGACATCCAGTGACTGCTGCCAGGTCCACGGCCAACTCACAGGACTTGATCAAATCCTCCATCATGGCCAAAGCTTGCTGTAGTTCAGCTGAGAATGCGGAGTCCTTGGTCCTCTTTGGCCTATTCTGTGTAAACCAAATGCCTTGTTGGAAATCAAAAGGTAAACCATCTAACCAAGTGAACTAGGGAAACAGGACAGAAATAAGGAGCCATGGATCCAGCCAGCACAGAGATGGAGAAGGTGGATACACGGATCTCTTGCCCTGCTCCCAAAGAATGGTGGCTGAAGATACTTCCTGGTTTACATATATGATATACACACTAGCAAAATCATCGACCACACCTTCTGTACATTGCACTCATTAAGAATGGAGTTCATAAAATCATGGACATCATGCTGCATAAGAAACATACTGACCTTTAAAGCATGGAAAACCCAGACCCTTTAAATAGGCTGCTCTTCCTTTTTACACCCCTAGCCCAGGAGCCTATTGAAAAGTAAAATCTGAGTATCATATTCCTGAATGTAATGTGAAAGTCCTATTCCTATGGGTAAAATTATACTTAAAACCATCGCAGGGAGGGTATTTGTAATCTCCTATAGAAGCAGAGAATGAGCTTCCAGGTGGAGGTTTACTCATGATTTACATGTAAATGCCATAACTGTTGCATTTGCCACCTTGAATCCCCACACCCCGCCCCAGCTCTGCCCTTCCTCCCTCCTCTCCTTCCCCAGTCTTTCTCACATTCTACCACCATTAAAGACACCAAAGAGATAAGCCAACAAGGTCTGCACCTCCCAAACAGGAAGACTCAGCATTGAGTACAAACACTATAACTGCTAATTCAAGAGACCAATGTTCCAGTTATTACTACTGAGACACTTAGGACATAATAGGGATGATTGTTTCAGTGTGTAAGTCTTTTGCTTACAGTTCCAGTATTTTATTCCCCTGCTACCTACGTGGCATATTTATCTGTTCTATGGTAAATACCAACAAAAAAAGTTTGGTTTCTTCCTTTTTTTTTCTTTTTAACACATCAATTTCTATAACAAAAAACAGACAGCTCTTTGCTGCCCCTCCCCTCCCTGTAGAGTCCCATCTCTTTTTGTCCTCTACGTGTGATGTAAGCAAAGGTTTGTGTATTCTCCTAATCTCTGCCTAAGCACTGAGGAGTAGCTTCTTTGGATCAGAGATATGAGTGACAGGGCCAATGAATGGGAGGGAACATGCTGCTTCCACTCAACAATCTGCCATTGGATTCTTACCCTCTCACTCATATAAACATGCTCCAGGTGCTGGGAGAAGACAACAGACTCTCACCTGAGTTTTTTGTAATATCATCAATAAAGGATTACATTCTTACACCAGGGGTCTTCCTTTTTACCCAACACTTAAAACTCAACTTCCTTTTAGAGACTCAACTGTTCCAATTCCCTCTCCTTCCCACTAACCCTCCTCCCACAAACATAGCAGGTAGCTACTTTTACATTGTGTAATGCAGGGCTCAGAAACATCCTTACAAACATTATTAAACTAACTCACCCTAGACCCCCTTGCTCCAGGCTATATTACCTGTGTCTTGAGCTTCTCTTAATTTCAAGGAGTCCCTACCACATATACTGAGCAGAGAAGGACTGCTTCTCATGTTATTCTTGTTAAAACTAGAATATTCTATAGAAAATTTAAAAGAAACCCCACTCCTAAGTCACAGATTTCTTCCCAGTACAGTATGGTCACCATTTCTTCCGAGGGAACCTTGGCTGTCTTAGAATTCACACCCACAAACACACTTAGAGGTGAACAGGGCATAATGTATGCAAATTAGATATACTAAGAAGCACAAACAAGTAAATATAAATCATACATAATCCTACCCTGCAGGAAAACCACAGCAGAGATTTTATCATATTTACTTCCAGTCTTTTATGTAAGCATTTTACACATTCACTTAATTTTGTATTCCTGTTAAAACATTTTTATGTGTAGGAAAAAAAATATATTACTAGTTATCCTGTTACAAAACCTCACTTTGAAATTGCCTTTAATTTTTTTGTTTTTTCTGTGACTACAAATTATAAGATACATGCTATTTTAGAAAATTTAAATAATAAAGATCATAAACAAGAAAAACAAAATTGCTATAAATCTGCCCACCCATAGACAAACACCATTAACAGTTAGTTATATAAAACAATATTTAATATACAGTACCTTAGCCAAACCTCCTTCTTGGTCACCGGAGTCTATCCCCAAATCCTCAGGAGACTCAAAATCCAGCAGACCCTGCATTAACCCAGAAGTCTTATTGGAAATCAAAAAGTAGAATGCCAACAAAATCTACTGTGCTACCTCCAGCCAATGCTGAATTAACAGAGGGCGTACTTTCCACAAACAGAATTATATTGGACACACTGTTTTGTAGCCTGTTTTTTCTCACTCAACAATGTATCATGAACATTTTTCCATGACATTATGTTTTAAAACAAGTTTTTTAATTGTAGCAGTGTTGCATCCTGTAGATAAATCATAATTCATTAATCCCCCTTACTTTTGAACATTTAGGTTCAATAATTTTTTACAATAATAATAATGATCTTTGTGCTTTTTTCCTAAGGATAAGTTCCTAGAAGTGTGAAATTGTCAATGTTAAAAGTTCTTCTTTTTTTTTTTTTTAAGATTTTATTTATTTGGTTGGGGAGAAGCAGAAGGAGAGGGACAAGTAGACTCTGTGCTGAGCATGGAGCCCAATGTGGGGCTTGATCTCAAGACCCTGAGATCATGACCTGAGCTGAAATCGAGAATTAGATGCTTAACCAACTGAGCCACACAGGCACCCCAATGTTAAAAATTCTGATGCATACTTCCAAGTTCTTTACAGAAGGACTATGTTCCCACCAGTCATATATGAAAGTTTATTTCACCAGCCCCCACCCTACATGGAGTATTAACATTTAACCAAAAAGTTTTGCCAATTCAATCAACAGAGAAATCCTACCTCACCGTTGTTTTAATTTGAATTTCTCAAATAACTGGTGAGGTAGAACTTTCAAAACAAAAATGTTTGCTATTAACATTTGTTCTTTTGTAAACTGCCTATGTCCTCCATTTATTTTTTAATTATTTTCTTTTTTATTTCAACTTTGAGGTATAATTGGCATATAAAATTGTTAGGTATTCAAAATGTATATGGTGATGATTTAATATATGTATATATTGTAAAAGGAGTTCTTCCATCTAGTTAATTAACACATCATTACTTCACATATTTATCTTCTTTTTTTTTTGGCAAGAACATTTAAGTCCCACTCTTAGAAAATTTCAATTATATAATACACTGTTACTGATAGTCACCATGTTTTACATCAGATCCTCACACCTTATTCATCTTGTAAACTGAAAGTTTATATCCTTTTACCAACCTCTCCCTATTCTTTTTTCTAACAGTAGTCTTTCATTTTTTTAAAAGAAGAAAAATGAATATCACTCCTATGACATGAGTCGCATTACACAGGAAATCAGCATAACCACCTATTCTAGAACATCCTTCTTATAATAAGCAAAATTTATTATAAACAAATAATGCACCATTTTCCAAATCACATCTTAAAATCCAGGTAAGAAAAATTCTCTACATTAAATTTGATAGTTTTGGGGTGCCTTCAGCTCAGGTCATGTTAAGTGTCTGCCGTCAGCTCAGGTCATGACCCCAGGGTCCTGGGATCAAGCCCTGCATCAGGCTCCCTGCTCAGCAGGGAGACTGCTTCTCCCTCTGCCCTTCCCCCTGCTTGGCTCTCTCTCTGTCTAATAAATAAATAGAATCTTAAAAAAATAAATAAATAAATTTGATAGTTTCCATACATCACTTAGCCTCTTTGACATAAATCATGACCTCAATAAAAGTGAATTCCTGTTGTCCCTAAATGCATCTATTTCTAATATATGCTAATAAATAATATATTGTTTAATCAGGTTGCCATGACTCATTACACATTATGTACATTATGTATTCAAAAAACTCTGTCACAAGTGTTAATTTTCATATCTCAGAAAAGATATGAAGCATTTCATAGATATCATTTCTTTTTTGTTTTTGTTTTTTTAAATTACTAACTTCTATGAGGTCATTATTAAGATCTGTCCCATATCTTGCTAATATTATATTTCACACAGTTTTTCATGTGTCTGTTTTTAATGGCATTATCTATCATTCCCTTCCCTTTCTTTTGTACTCGGAAAAAGTCTTCTCACACCAGGATTCCATGATCCTTTCTAAGCCATGGGGCCATCAGTCAGACACCAGTGCTCCCAAAGAAGATGATGGTAGGCCCTGCAGAATGAGCTCTGTCCCTCAGGGTGGAAAACACTACGAAGTTCTTCCTTTCTTCACAGGTGTGCCAGTGGTTTGGACTTGTTTTTCCAGCACGCAGCAAGCTTAGCTATGGGAAAAACTGGTTTGCCCTGAATAGCCTCTCATTGTTTCACATCCCTGAGGAATATTTTATAGTGATTCTGTCTCGTTTCCTGAGTGACATGAAACTAACAAAATTCTCTAATTACTTTTAACATGTGTTACCTCGTTTATGCTCCCAAAAAGCACACCAGGAAAAGACTAGTACTACCTTCACTTCACAGCTGAGGAACCTGAGGCAGAGAGAGGTTAAGTAATTTGCCTGCATTCATGCAGTCTGGAAGCAGCAGAGCTGGATCCACACCCCGGATAGCTAACTCATCAGTCTGGGTTTCTAATCACTGCACCCTGTAGCCCTCTGTGTATGGTACAGAACTTCGCTCTTGAGGCAACATCGCTTCTGTGGGAAAACTCGGGCATTTCAGTGCCCGACGGACCCAGACGGAGGTGGTGAAGACCCCCCCACTCGTCCTGCTCCTTCCTCACTGGGTAGGACTTGTACAGCTCGGATGACAGTAAAGATGGGTTGGTCAGAGGGGTGTGAGGCTCTACGTGAGCACTGTATGGAGACACACTCACAGATGCCATGGTGGAGGGAAGCAGTGGGGGGTCATTCCCATTCCCACACTGCTGTGGCATCTCTATGGATAAAACAACGGCTGCTACGCATTCCAGGAAGCTTCCTGGGGGTCAGCCCCCAGCGAGTTCTCTACAGGCATTACCTACTGGCTCCTCACAGCAATCCTGTGGAGGAGGTTCTCGTATCCCCACCCGACACATGAGAAAACCAAGGCCTAAAACGTCCAGGAGTGCCATATGTGGTGACGGCAGGGCCAGTCCAGCTGAGGCTGGGACTGCTGAGGCAAAGCTGAAAGGGGCAGCTTTTTCTGAGGGCAGAATGTTAGGCAATGAGCTTAACCTCCCCCAGCCTCAGTTTCTTCACACTCCAGAGTCTTTCTGGTGCGTCTGATTGTGGGGATTAAATAAGAAGTACATATGGGAAGGTCCCCATTAAATAGCAGGTGCTTGTGTTTTTTGTTTTTCATTTTTGTTGTTGTTGTTGTTGTTGTTGTTGTTGTTTTGAGAGATAGTAGCCACTGGGCAAGAGCTGCTTATAAAGGTTAACTCAAAACACAAGTTGGAGAAGGGGCCCAAAACTTTCCCTCAGCTCACAGGTGGGGAGGCAGCCTGACAAAGCTTTCTCTCCTGTTTGGGGTGTCTGGGAGTGCTCTCCTGCAGGTGTGCTGTTGGCAGACAGAGAACAAACCACCTAGGGGTTCAGCAGAGCAAAATTCCCTCTATTACGTTGCTCTTGAGAAAGATCCTTAATCGAAGGATGGAGGTAGATATTGTAAAAGAAGAAAAGACTCCAGTTTTGCCTTCTCCCTTCCATTGTTTTAATGCACAGAAAATTGTGACTCGGGGAACATCACACCTCTTTTCTGAAGCTCCTTGCCTCATCTGTAAAATGGAGCAGATGATATCTTGCCTGTAGATACCTTATATGAGAGGACAGCCTCTGGCTGCCTCCCTGCTCTCTCAGTTGCCAGCAATGTGGTGGCGTTCCCCTTTCTCCCTTTGCTCTCCAGGACCTCTCCTGCCCCAAATCAGCCTCCTGAGAGATTCATGCCTTAGGCCACATGTTGGACCAGCCAGGCTTCCAGGTCCCTTTCGACTCTCCGATTCTTTGGTCCTCCTCACCAAGGTATGCTGCTTTGGACTTGGAGGACAGAAAAAGCCTAAAGGAGAGACATATCTTCTTCCCCTTTGGAAGACGAAGTCACAGCTCTGCATGTCTAAGGAAAAGAGCATCCTAGCACACACGTGTTTTCCCAGCACAGGAAAGCACTGTCTCATCGACTTTACCTTCAACAGCATCTGGTATTTTATAAGTCTCTGGCTGGGTCCTCTGAGATACTTAAAAAGAGGGAAATTGTGATCCAGTTGGCGCTGGCATACCTTTAAAAGCCAAACAGAAACAAATGTAAAACAAAACCAACAACACATGGAGAGAACAAAGAGGCAGCATTTGAATACAAGAAATGAAACAGGCTCTTGGAGGGGGCGCTGGGGGGAAAAGATGCTGCTGTGTTGACCAGCTTAGTAATGTTACTGAGTCCTTGGGTGCCTTAGGAACAATGTGTCAAATGAGAGAAAGGGGAAAGAGGATGGCTGGGCTAGTAATTCTAGATGCAGCTAGGGAAGTAGGACCATTTATTTCTTTTAGAAAGCAAGTCCACTGGAAGACAGTGGGGTACCTCAAATCCTGAAAAAGAGGCAGCCTGTCTTTGAGTTGTGTCTATTCAGGTCATTTTGAGTCTAGAAGTTACATGATGACTTACTAATATCATTCCAAGGAGCCCCAGAATGTGGCCTTTTGGATTTAATTCCTTTTAAAAATTCCCCATCCTAGACGAGGACTCTGGTTTGCTCACCAGGCTAGAGCTGCTCCTCACAGGCCTGTCCCTTAGAGACCCACGGCCGCATCAAAACTTCCAACGTGTCATCTCAAAATAGGAGAGACTTTTAATAAACATAAATTCAAATGCCAAATTCCCCTGCCTCGTTCATACTTCTGATTTCTTTAAAGACTTGGCACACATAAACATTGTCCAGGAAAAACCATTTGTGCGAGACTTTGTGATCTCAACGTTACCCCAAAGAAGGTGCAGTCTTGACATTCTTGCCAGATTGCCCTAGCTCGGGGCAGATTCTTATGGTATTTAAAATATATTTGAAGATCTTCTTTCTGAGAGGGAAAAGAATTGGAACAAATTAATCAGGTAGTATTTTTCAGTAAGTGGACAGGATGATACTGTTTACTCATTCAAATATTCAATAAGCCTGAGTCTTTTCATGGTGTGAGGAACTGGGGATGCATGATAACCTCATGTTGGGGTGACTGTGTGATGGGAAGGTAAATAGAGGGTTCTAAACAACCATAAGTCCTAAACACAGATACGAACAGGGTGCTGTGGAAACAACTACAGGATTCTGATAAATCGGTAATTTCATGAACAAGAGCGGGTTTTAATCTTCATCCTTCCTCCTCTGCTCTTTATCCAGGACATCACTGTCTCCCCAGAGTAGCTCTGCAGTGAAGTACAAAATTGACAGAAAAGGTGCTGGTAGCTGATGGCTCCTCCTCTCTCTCTCTCCCTATCTTCCTATTTTGATCATCATGATGCCAACTGCAGAAAATAAACCAAGAGACAACCAAAAGATAGAAACACCCCAAAAGGAAAATGTGGCAGCTTGGAGAAAACAAGTCCTAAGTCCTTTGGGCAACCCCCAAATCAGCAGGCTCTGCCTCAGACATCCCTTTCCACCTACAGCACCAGACTCCAAGACAGGAAACATTATATGACTAACTCAGAGCTAGAGATCAAGACGGATTCCAAGTGCTGTGTGACCTATTTCTCATTGCATCAAAGACCATGAGAGGTAGGCACATACCCACCAGTACCCCGGAGAGGTTGCTCCCAGCCTATGGAGTCAGCTTGCCAGCTTCATCCACTCCATCACGTGCACCTGGACCACAGCAGCTATGCTGGTCACAGAGCCTGTGCTGTCTGGGGAGGGGGGAAGCCCATGGGGCTGCATCCTGGTGGATTTCCATGTCCCTATCTTTCTCAGGCCAACTCTTGATGGCCTTCATGTGGACATAGGTCACTGTTTTCCTCACAGCTTCAACTATGTCTATTTCTTTCCATTTCTGCTTGTGGAAGGAAGGAAGATGGCTCTTAAGAAATGTTCTTCAGACAGGTTAAGGAACTAGAATAATAACTCAGAGCAGCCCACACACAGGGAACACTCCTGCCATACCACAGGCCAGGCTTATAAAATATTACAAATTGATGAAGGCATCTCACCCACGTTGGGTCTGTCAGAGCACAAAATCATTGGCCTTTAGCTCCTAAAAGAATTCAAGGTTTCAGGGCTTTCAACACTAACCATCAGAAGATTATATAAAAGTTGGAGGAGATCCTCCCACCCAGTGAAACATCCTCAAAAGTCAGCCACCTTTCCCCAAACTTTCCCAGCAACAGAGGCACATGGTTCTCTCGGAGGATGCTGAGCTGAAAAGTGTGCTCCTCAAACCCTCACTCCTTGGTACTATGTCTACACTTTGAGCAATGCAGAACACCATAGGCCTTCAAGCACCAAAACATGACTGTTGACCTACATTTGCTCTTCAATCCAAAATTCCTTAAAGAAAGGATACACACTGACCAGCAGCATATAAAATGCCCAACTATCCTCACCTGCCTATAGAACAAATCAGGAGGCTAAAAAAATAAATGCTACCAAAAACTCCTATTCACATATGATCGTTTATGCATTAGGATAGTGGGCTCTGATGGTGGATGGTCCAGGTTCAGTTCTTGGCTTTGTCAGTTCCAAACCAAATGGCCCAAGTTCAGTTACTCAACCTCCCTATACTTCAGTTTTCTCATCTATTAAGTGGGTTCACAACAGCAGTTAACTAGAACTACTGTGAGATTAAATGAGACAATGTATAGAAACTTCTCAACAAATGCCCAATACTTATGGAGCACCCAATATATGGTAGCTATTGACAAGGCATTTTTTACTTTGTAAAACCCTTCTGCATACACTATTTTATTAGATTTCCACAATGACTTTACATATTGGTATTATTAAGCCCATTGTATGGAGGAAGGAAGTGAGACTCTGGGGGTTTAAGTGACTTAACATGAGGTCACACAGATAGCAAGTGGCTCAACTTAGCGAGAAGTTACATTTCCTGAGTTCCACCCCAGAGCTCTTCCCATTTTGCCTTGTCACATCTCAGAGCTAATGGAACTCAAAGTAGACTACTGACAAATATCATTCTATGTAGAGCCTGGTCTCTGGGGCAGAATCTTCCTGGATTCTGCAGACTAGAGAGTCTGATTAAAATATTTGGCCAGAGCAATATTTCAAAACTCATTTTCATGATTAATGGAATTCTGCAAATATTACTGAGAAAAGGTCAGTGGTTGTAGTAGATAACGGGTGAGGGGCCCACCTCACTGGCTAACAAATACACAGCAACAGCCAGTTCCCTCAAGGAGCCTCAAAGATTACCTAATCATGGTTTTTAATTACTCCATCTGTTCCAGACTAATAACTTTATGATGGAGAAGAATTTATTACCTGTACTATGTCTCCAACATCATAAATCACATAGGATCACATGCAGTGTTTATATGCAGGTCTGGATTAATGATTTCTCAGGTTTCTCCCAACATGGGGGACTATAAAAGGCTTTGCAAAACTTTAGGTGAGGAATTCTTCTAGGAAAAGATGTTTTGTCAGCAATTCCTTAACCATTGCCTTACACTTAGACAATTTTTTTTTTTATCATATCCATTTTTTCCCCACAGGAATTCGGTCCTTTTCTCATCCAACAATTTAAATAAGTCTTTGCAATAATGACATAAGCAATTATAAAATATTTCTAAGCTCTGAAACTAGACTTCACATTGGTGGTTTGATGAGTGCAAAATTACAAAGTAGTACAAAACACGAATAATGCTATAAAGTAATTCAAAAAGGAAATTAATTAGATTAAATACAACATAGTTTTCAGTGTACCTTGAATTTTGGCACTTGACAAAAAACCTATGATGAGGTTGTGGTGGAAAAGCCCATACAGGCTGTGGAAAAGGCTTTCTAAGCTGGCAAGAGTTCTGAGGGTTGAAGGCTCTGTTTCTCCGTTATGTCAAATGCCTTGAAACCTGGGGATTTGTGTTTGCTTGCTCTCAGTTTATCACACGTACTGCTCTTAGACTTATCAGCCTTAATTTGGGTTGTTTAAAATGTTTAAGTTGTTTCGTCTGTTGTCTCGGGCTCACAAAAAGAAAAAGAAGGAAGAGAATGAAAAGAAGAGCCAGTTGAGAGAGAGAGGAGAAATGCAAAAGACTTAGAAAGTCCAGGGCACAAGGATCCTCTGCATAGTCCTCCCAAGGGAAGAAAGTGCTTGGGGAGCGGTGCTAGGTAATACACGTCTCTGTACCGGCTCAATAGGCCCAAACAGCTATTCACTGCCCAAAGCAGGGGTGCAGAGAGGGCAAGAGGGAAGATGTCTGTGCACGGAGAAGGGGAAGGGGAAGTAGTCAGAGATGGTGGTGTAGGGCAGGAAATCATAAATGGGGTACTAAGCATAAGGGGGACCATAGACACTGAACTCTACCTCTGGAACTAATAATATACTATATGTTAATTAATTGAATTTAAATAAAATTTTAAAAAATAAGCTTTAGAATATGCTCCAAAGTTATTTTTTCATTAAGAATAAAAAATAAAGGGGTGCCTCGTGGCTCAGTCGGATAAGTGTCTGCCTTCGGCTTAAGGTCATGATCCCAGGGTTCTGGGATGGAGCCTGCACCGTGTCTGGGTTCCCTCTCCCTCTGCCTGATGCTTCCCCTGCTTGCGCACGCTCTCTCTCTCTCTGTCAAATAAATAAATAAAATCTTAAAAGAAAAGAATAAAAAATAAATAAATTCCAAACTGAAAAGTAAAAAAAAAAAAAAAGAGGGACCACAGATTTAACATATTCTAACCATCCTCTACGCTGTAAAAAAATAAAATGGAAGAAAAGACATTTTCTGAGACTTTTAGTTTAGCATCAGTACTTCTTCTCTTGAGAGTGTTAATACAACTTTAGTGAGGAATTTAAGCCTGCTGTGTGATTCTTGTTCGAAAACAGTTAGCTTGGGTGCCTGGGTGGTTCAGTTGTTAGACCGCTGCCTTCGGCTCAAAAAAGAAACAAACAAACAAACAAAAAACAGTTAGCTTAGTCATTCAGAGGAGGATCATCTGTTTTGGGGGTCCAGTCCTCCATGTCACTGGGCTTTGCAGGAGGCCAAGCTTGTAAGTTGCTCCCATCTGTCATATGAGCCTAGTCAAACTGGACGCATCTCACGCTGGGTGACATATTATAAAAGGACTCCTGCTTTGCACTCAAAAGGCAGGTGTAATTTTTCAGACCATTGGTGTTCCCATTTGCCCTTGCTCCTCACACAGAAAATTAAGGGCTAAATTTAATCCCATGGTTATTCTGAGTTTCTGGGAGCACAGACTTACTCTCTTGAGAAAGCAGCGTGCCAGAAGTTCAGGGTTTTCAGTGCACTTTTCTAATTCTTTTAGAAAAGTCCTAGGGAAGGAAAAGTATAATCACATTTTGATTTTTTACATGTATGAAGTTAAAATACATAAGGTTTTTTCTTAAGTAAAATCACATAAGATTTTAAGAGGTGCTCAGAAAAATGCTGTTTTCCAGGCTTTATTGCTCTTGACTCATCTTCAACATACCGATTTGGAAGAAAAAAACATTCTGTGACATTACTAGGATTCCCTGAAGCCAACCACAGCTTGTCCTGATAATTCTAGGCACTAGCTGTAGACCGACAAGATGCGCTGATGCTCCCTGCTACATGAGAATCACATGAACATGAACTACTGTTGCTGTGTCTACTGCTAATATCACTGAGGGTTTGAGGCAAGCCAGGCATAAGCTAAGTACTTCATAAACAATATCTCATTTAATCCTCCACCAAACCTAGTAAGGTAGGGTCTCATAAATGTGAAACCCAAGGCATGGAAGAGGCTGAATAACTTCTCCAGGGAAGGTAGCAGAAATGGGATTTCCATTTCAGTTGTGTGTCTGACCAATGGACAAGAGACAGGGTTGAGAAACAATTGTGGGTCAATTCACCAAGGAGTCTCTTCTTTCCCATCAATTAGATGTGTGATTTGGGGTTGTTATACTGAGTAAAGAGAGGAAACGAGCTGCAGGTTCATCTGTGAAATGAAAGGCTTGGAAGATGATCTCCAAAGTCCCTTCCTCTTCTAATTCTCTAGAACTCAACACCCAAGCAGCCCTGGGCTAAAAGGACAACTTGTCTGACCAGTTAGCATTTTCCAACACCCTAGCTCCCAGCACTACTTGATGATAGTAGGTATGTGGACATGTGTCTTGGTGATCTTTGTATTCCCAACGCTGAATACAGTGCCTGACACAGAAGAGGTCCTCAATAAAGGCAGATACATGAATAGATAAATAAGCAAAGGAACACACAAAAAATATAACATTAATGCCTGACACTTGGTACATGCTACATTGATGGCTTTCCCCTTCTCCCTCAGAGATCTATGGCACTTCTCCCCTTCTTCTCATCCCATCCCAACCAAGTCCACTGACTCTGGACTACTTGCTTAAGCCTGGCAATGTCTACACCTGTTCATCTCCAAATCCCATCAGTCTGATTTCCATTTTTCTCTTACTTTCCATTTTTCCTGATAGTTCAAATTATTATATACCTGTTGTGAAATTCATAAAGTTCTCTAATATTCCCAAAGAGAAACTCCTTGTTATTCTGAAGAACATCTGGAATCAGATGCTTCAGCCAAATAAAATCCATTGGAGTGATATATCCCTGCAAAGGTGGAAACAAGATAGGTTTTACAGATAAGAACATTTAAGAGATGATCTGAATTAGCTTCTCTAGGGACCAAAACTTTAATAACTGGGAAACATGGCACACTTATTTCTTGAAAGCCATTTCATCAAATGCTTTCTTTTGATATATATTATTCCCTTCATGTGTCCATCTTCAGAAGAAGGTGGTTAAATTTAAATGGCAGTGATAATAAAATGGCACTTTATAGAAAGAACAAATATATTTTTTAAATGTTTATGTCATACAAGTCAAGTGTGAAAGCAAAAAACTTATCTATCATTTTATAACCAAATGCAATTACTACTGTTTTATTATATTTCCTTCATGACTTTTTAAAAGCTTATTTAATACTGTTTTTAGTTTAATCTTATAAGCATTTTTCAACATTGCTACATATTATTCAAAATATTTTGTAACAGTTGAATAATATTTCATTCAGCATGAATATCAGACTGTATTAACATCCCCTTTTTTATTGGAGATTTTATTTTCTTCTGATATTTTATTATAAAAATTCTATTATAACATTGTACAGATCATTTATTTCTCAGATTATTTTCTTAGGAAAATAGGAAAAATTCAAATTTTCACTCTCAAGCAAAAAATCCTACTTGAAACAATTCTCCCTTATTAAATTATCAAAAATATTCAAATTATCATGTCCATTGTTGGCAACCATAGGGTGAACCTACTGGGCCCTGCTAAAATCAGTATGAATTGATACAATCCTTTGGAAGTTATTTAGTTACACGGATCACTAGTCGTAAGAATGTTCTTATTCCTATTGGAAAGATACTTGTGATATTATAAGACCTGAACTCTTGGTGGAAATTCTAGAGACATACGGCAACTATTTTAAGTCTCTTTGTGCAACAGAACTTCTCTAATTTGAATACATGCTTAAATGTCCACTACCCCAGTCTACTTACATCAATTATGCTCTTAATCTCTTTTATATAAATCTCTTCCGTCTCAAGCAGGTCATGTATGATGCGCCTGAATCACGGCAGCAGGTGGGAATATGAAAGAGAAAGAGATGGAGGGAGGGGAGAGAGGGTTTTTAGAATTCTTTTAGAATAATGCTCATCACTACGGTTCCCCTGAGTGGCTTACCTACTTAGGTTGTGGTCAGTTCATTCTGTTCTACTGAATACCCAAGGCCAACAACTCACAAAAGCACATCTGATCACACTGGCATAAGAAGAAACAGTAAGGTCAGAGGACTCAAAATCTATCTGTACAGCCAATGAATGACCTGTCCTCTGGTGGGTCACAGTGTAGGGGTCAAAAAGGCAGAGATTGTGGAGTCGGAAATGCCAGGTTTTGATCCTTGGTCAGGAAGGCCTGCCCGACCCCTACATTGTATGTGTGGTTTCTGAGATTTTCTCTGCAACTTTCTGCTGTTTCATGGCTCATATCAAGATATTTGACCCGCACGGGTGGGCCTTTGCTGTGCATGAGGTTAGCCTTTCTCTGGCATCTAATGTTTCAGTAGGATTGGTGTCCTCAGACAACAGACATGACTTCTGTCTGCTTTCCTTGAGGAAGGCAGGTGGGGGTTGTGGTGGGCAGAATGCTATGATGACCCCCCAGATTCCTGACCCCTTGCATACATACACCTCCTCCCAGTTAATTAACTGAACACTAATTTAGGTGCTACTGTGGAGGGTCTTTGCCATTCTGTTTTGTTCCAAATCAGTTGACCCTAAGATAGGTAGATTACCTGGTTGGGCTTTCCTAGTCTCATGAACTCATCAGATCTGGGTCTGGAAGTCAGAAAGATTGGAAGCATGAGAAAGCTTTAACACAAGGGAAGCTGTCCTTGGCTGACTCTGGAGATGGGAGAGGCTCTGTGATAAGGAACATAGGCTGCCTTTAGATGCTGAGAGTGGCCCCCAGTTAATAACCAGCAAGGAAACTGGGACTTTAGTTCTACAGTTGCAAGGAACTGAATTCTGCCACAACCAGATCAACTTAGAAGAGAATACTGAGCACAGCTGACCAACTTTATTTTAGCTCTGTGGGACCTGAGTAAAAAGCCAGTCATGCTGTGCCTGGACTTCTATCACAGGAAACTGGGAGCTGTTGAGTTAATGGTCATATTTTTTTATAGCAATAGAAAAGTAATAGAAAGCGTGAGGCCAGTCCCCACATCTATCTCCAGATAGACTGTTTTCTTTCTCTTCTCAGACACTTTTTCTTTTGGGCTTTCTTTTAGGCCTCTAAGTGAGTTAGTGTTTGTACAGGTGATCATGTGTGGAATACATACATTTATGGTTTCCTGAGAACTGTTGGTAGGTTATCTATTAAAAGGTAACCTATCCCAGTAATTTCTCTGACAATGGCCATAGCAACATTTTTCTAAATATGTCTCCTGAGGCAAGGGAAATAAAATAAAAAATAAATTATTGGGACTACATCAAAATAAAAAGCTTCTGCATAGCAAACAATCAACAGAACTAAAAGACAACCTATGGAGTGGGAGAAGATATTTGTAAATGCCATATCTGATAAAGAGTTAGTATCCAAAATACATAAAGAACTTATACAACTCAACACCAAAAAAAATCCCAAATAATCCAATTAAAAATGGGCAGAGGACATGAACAGACATTTCTCCAAAGAAGACATACAGATGACCAACAGACACATAAAAGATGCTCAATATCACTCATCATCAGGGAACTACAAATCAAAACTACAATGAGATATCACCTCACACCTGTCAGAATGGCTAAAATCAAATAGACAAGAAACAACAAGTGTTGGTAAGGATGTGAAGAAAAAAGAACCCTTGTACACTGTTTGTGGGAATGCAAACTGGTGCAGCCAGCGTGAGAAACAGTATGGAGTTTCCTCAAAAAATTAAAAGTAGAATTCTAGTAATTCCACTACTAGGTTTTTACCCAAAGAATACAAAAACACTAATTCAAGAAAATATATGCATGCCTGTGTTTACTGCAGTATTATTTACAATCGCCAAATTATGAAAGCAGTCCAAGTATCCATCAATAGATGAATGGATAAAGAAGAGGTGGTATAGGTCTACAGTGAGATATTGCTCAGTCATAAAATGAAATCTTGCCATTTGCAACAACATGGATGGATCTAGAGAGTATAAAGCTAAGGGAAATAAGCCAGTCACAGAAAGACAAATACCATGTGATTTCACTCATAGGTGGAATTTAAGAAACAAAATAAATGAACAACACCAACAACCACAAAAAGAGACAAACCAAAAACAGACTCTTTTTTTTTTTTTAATGGTGTAGTTTTCTACTGTGGTTTTTTTTTTTTTTTTAAGATTTTATTTATTTATTTGAGAGAGAGAGAATGAGAGATAGAGAGCACGAGAGGGGAGAGGGTCAGAGGGAGAAGCAGACTCCCTGCTGAGCAGGGAGCCCGATGCGGGACTCGATCCTGGGACTCCAGGATCATGACCTGAGCTGAAGGCAGTCGCTTAACCAACTGAGCCACCCAGGCGCCCCCAAAAACAGACTCTTAACCATAGAGAACAAACTGATGGTTACCAGAGGGGAGGTGGGTGGGAGGATGGGTGAAATAGATGAAGGGGATTAAGAGCGCACTCATCATGATGAGCCCTGAGTAATGTATATAATTGCTGAATCACTATATTGTACATCTGAAACCAATATAACAGTGTATGTTAACTACACTGGAATTAAAATAAAAATAATTAAATAAAAATTATAAAGCTGAACTAAAAAAATTAGAAAAATACATAAATAAATGGTAGTCTAACCTAGTAAAGGGTTTCTTTTTCTCTCTTAAAATGGATATGTCAAGGGAAAATAATCAAAGGACAAAATACAGGAAATTCACACATATATAAAAATGACTATTTTTCTTATGAAAAAAATGCCCAATGCACGCTAATCCAATAAAGGCATAATAAAAAGAAGCAACAATTTTCAACTACTAGAATGGCAGAAATTTCAAATCTCAAAAGAAGACTGATAGATAAGAATGTGGAAACAGTCTCAGATAATATTGAAAGAAGTGTAACTATGTGCAAGATAACTTGGAAATATCTCTTCAAAATTTTAAAAATTTGAAACCCCTTGATTCAGTAATTTCATTTCTAAGAATGTTCATTATCGTAATTATTTGCACTTCCACAACAACCAGATATAAATTGGAAATTACTTATATTCTCATCAATAAATTATGGTACACACACATATATAATGAAATACCATGCAGTTTTAAAAAGAGAATGAAGCTGAGTCATGCTAGTATGACACAGTCTTGGTATTTTAAGTGAATTAAAAAAAAAAAAAAAAACACCAAGATGGGGCACCTGGGTGGCTCAGTTGGTTAAGCGTCTGCCTTCAGCTCAGGTCATGATCCTGGGGTCCTGGGATGGAGCCCCGCATCAGGCTCCCTGCTCCGCGGGGAGTCTTCTTCTCCTTCTCCCTCTGCTCCTCCCCCCAGTTTGTTCTCTCTCTTCCCCCCTTCTTTCTCTCCAAAATAAATAAATAAACCTTAAAAAAAAAACCAAGATGAAGAACAGTTTACATAGTATGACTATGTAAAAATGAGTATGTGTACATATATACGTAAAATTGTGTATGCTTTGAAAATTCATGCAAAGAAACTTAAGACACCATTAACAGTGATTTCTTTTGGAGAGTTGTACTGGAGGCTAGAAAACAGGGAAGGAGAATTTTTACATTTTACTCTATGCCCCTCTACAATCGGTGATTTAAAAAACTTACCAGTTTTATAATTTAAAAAATGGTTTATATGACATTTTAAAATGAATGTTACTGGAGGTACCCCATATGAGAGATACAAATAAAACCTACAACTTACGTATTTTATAGCTCAACAATTAATCTTTTCTTAAAAATAACAATTTTTGCATCTATTTTTTCTTTTTTAAAAATTAGTTTCAGAGGTAGAATTTAGTGATTCATCAGTTGCATATAACACCCAATGCTCATTACATCAAGTGCCCTCCTTAAAGCCCATCACCCAATTATCCCTTCCCCCTCCCACCTCCCCTTAACAACTCTTTGTTTCCTAGAGTTCAGTGACTCTTATGGTTTGCCTTCCTCTCTGTTTTCATCTTATTTTTCCTTCTCTTCCCCTATGTTCATCTGTTTTGTTTCTTAAATTCTACATATGAGTGAAATATTCTGATAATTGTCTTTCTCTGACTGCTTTATTTCACTTAGCATAATACCCTCTACTTCCATCCATGTCATTGTAAATGGCAAGATTTCATTCTTATTGATGGCTGAGTAATACTCCATTATATATATATATCTCACATCTTCTTTATCCATTCGTTTCTTGATGGACATCTGGGCTTTTTCCATAGTTTGGCTATTGTGGACATTGCTGCTATAAGCATTGGGTGCATGTGCCCCTTCACATCACTACGTTTGTATCTTTTGGATAAATATCTAGTAGTGCAATTGCTGGGTCATAAGGTAGCTCGATTTTTAACTTTTTTGAGGAAACTCCATACTGTTTTCCAGAGTGGCTGCACCAGGTTGCACTCCCACCAACAGTGTAAGAGGGTTCCTCTTTCTCCATATCCTCACCAACATCTGTTGTTTCCAGAATTGTTAATTTTAGCCATTCTGACCAGTGTGAGGTGGTATCTCATTGTGGTTTTGATTTGTATTTCCCTGATGCCCGGTGATGTTGAGCATTTCTTCATGTGTCTGCTGGCCATTTGTATGTCTTCTTCACATCTATTTATAAACACTTATTATTAGATAAGACTGGTAAAGGATGGTCACTGACAGAAGATACAATTCAAGAAGTATACAGGCTATCAAAAAGCTACTTTAAGATCACATTTAGCTACAAAGTCACTAAGAGGTTCTGCTTTTTATAATCATCCCAAAATGACAATTGCTATGTCAGAAGGAAATAGGGGCTTCAATACCAATCTATTTCTATGAGCCATGGTATCAAGTAGGACCATAGCCTCAGTTAAGTATTCATAGAAAACCAGAGTA